ATTTATTTAATTATTTATTTATTTATTTTTGCAGTACTGGGGCTCAAATTCAGGATCTCGTGCTTCCAAGGTAGGCACCATGCCACTGAACTAAATCTCCAGCCCCACAGCTCGTATTTTATTTTGAGACAGGGTGTCACTAAATTGTCCACACTGACCTCAAACTTGGGACCCTCCTACCTCAGCTTCCCAGAGTGCTAGGATTACAGAGAGAGGGACAGTGAGCAAGGGAGGGACTGGGAACAAAATATACCCCAGTGACCTACTTCAAAGAGGCCTCACTCAACACACATGCTCGTAGGGGACATTAAGATCCAACCAGGACTCCTGCAACACAAATCGAGTGTGGCCTCCCTATCACGATGCCACCAGGAACCTCTGCTGTGTGGGCTAGGAGGACTTCAAAGGCAGAGCCTGGGCTGAACAGGTGGAGGATGAGCAGGTGTCACTCTGTAAAGACAGCACGTGTAGACAATAAGCTTGTTCAAGAAATTTACTTGTGGAGGGGAGAAAAGAGACAGGTTCGGGGAGGTGGTTCGAGATTACTGTTTTCTTCTAGACCCTGGGGCGTGGAGACAGCCTAACAGGGCCGAGCAGCAGACAGGAGCAGCCACTGGACAGAATGGAGCCCCAGAGGCGGGGGAGTCGCAGCGAGGAGGCAGATGACAAGAGCGGCCTTGCTCTGCCTGTGGCGCAGAAGTGGGCGAGGGTACAGGTGGCCTGAGACGAGTGACGGGGGCCCGGCAGGTACCTTCCACTGTCCCTGTCCACAGACGGAGGACGTCCATGACGGGGGCCAGGGTTTGAAAATGAGAGGGTTCACCAGGAACGTGGGGCAGGGCGGGAACTGGGAACAGGAAAACTATAGACGCCTGGTTCTGAGCTCACGATGACAGAGGAGTTGGGGCCCAGCCGTTCAGGGCCTCTGGACCAGAGGGTGCAGAGCTGCAGGGGTTCTCACTGCTACACACCAAATCCCCCGACTCACAGCCTTCGACAGCCCAGCCGGCATTTATTACCATACCTTCTGAGGCCCAGACGGCCCACCCAAGCTCTCACAATCCGCAGTGTAGCCAGGCAGGAGGCTCTGCTTCCACACTCACAGGTCGCTGGCAGGCGTGAGGGATGGCTGACTCCTGTGGGGGACAGTTCCTCGGCACTTGGTTCTGGCCACAGGGCTGCCTCCTCCAGCATGAAGGATTTAGAGGGGAAGAGAGAGAGAAAGAGAAAGAGAGCACAAGACAGCGGCATTTCATGGCATTCACCACATTCTCAAATGACTTCACTTGCGTCTGCCCAGTGGCCCTTACTGAAAAGCAAACTTCCTGACAGGAAAGGCCGGGTATGATCCTCTGAGAGTGCCAGGCACAGAGCGCACGATCAAAATTTTAAAATTCACAGGCCGGAGGGCAGGATAGTTCAGTCGTAGACCAAGTGCTAAGGATGTGCAAGGCCCTGGTTCAAGCCCAGCTATGGTTTGGATCTAAGATGTCCCCCAAAAGGCCCGTGTGTTCAGAGGTGGGACTTTGAGGTGACTGGATGATGAGGCCCTAATTTCACCAGGGGTTTTTAATCCATTAAAGGATTATAGTCCGATGGCATTGTCAAGAGGTAATGAAGACTTAGGGGGTGGGGCCTACTCGGACCTCATTCCCAGACCCTTCCCCCCTCTCCCTCTCCCTCTCCCTGGCTGCCACGAGGTAAGCAGCTGTGTTCTCCACACCCTTCCGCCATGACGCCTGCATCACCACAGGCCCAGAAACAACAGAGCAACTAACCATGGACTGAACCACCAAAATCATGATTCAAAATAAATCTGCCCTCCTTTAAGTTTTTTCCCTCAGATATGTTGTCATAGTAACAGAAAGCTAACACAACCCCAGCACTAAAAAAAAGGAAGGAAGGAGAAAAAAGAAAAATGAAGAAATCAATCTTTAAGTAAATGGGTGAGTGAATGCATGAGTGAGTGAAACCCACCAAAAAAAAATTTTAGTTTTGACTTAGTGTCAAACTTTCCTCTCAAGGAAGAGGTAGAGTCTCCAAGGCCTGGTGTATTAGTTTGCCTAGAAGTTCAATGGTTCCCTAAATGTATACTGCTGTTTTTCACACTCTTCGTCTTTTCTTTTTTTTTTTTGCCAGCATCAGATTCATTTATTTGTAAGTTAATTATTATACATATAGATTAACAGCCAGACTAATAGTCAAAAAACATATAAAACACATAAGACTATTATAATAAATTGAGGTACACTTTTAGATATTTTGCACTTTATTTATACATTGGGTTTCTCTTTTTTGCAGTACCAAGGATCAAACTCAGGACCTTGTGCTTGCAAGGCAGGCATGGTGCCACTGAGGTAAATCCCCAGCCCTACACTGGGTTTCTTCTTTTTTTTTTTTTTTGGTTGCATTTTCTTTATTATTTTAGGTTTTTTAGTCCAGAGAGGTAAAATATGAATAATTATACATAATTAAAACTGTTTTTTATATTTATATTCATATATTTGATAGTAAAAGACATGCTATGTTTAGCAACCTCTAAAAAATATACAGCAATGATTTGCTTATAAACAAAAGTATCCAGAAACTGTTAACTTAAAAAAAATTATAGCATTGTTCTTATAACAATTTGAGAATGCTGGAGCTGTATTTTAATGTTCATTTTAAAGATAATATGTTGACATTTTTAAATTGAACAAGACAGCTAAGCTATTATTGGTTGTAAATATCTTCAACCTTATTTTTCTCATTTCAATAAGCTGTTGTCAAAATAGGTAGAACAACATAGTCATTAATGCTAATAAGTTCCTAGAATTTGTGACAAAGAACAAAGCAAGATTTTAATTTTTATTCAGCTACAATTTAACAAAAGTTAAATTTTTATAAAGTTAATTCCTGAGAAAATTCTGTTATACTTACTATGATACAAACTCATCAAAAAAGAAAATCACTAGCTATGCCTACTTTTATGTATAAATAATCAAATAATAATGCTTACGAATATTGTAGGTCCTAAGGAACTCTTTTAAGGTAAAGTATTAGCATTTGACCAGAAGGTAGACTTTTAAAAAGTAGCATTTATTAATTGTTCAGAAATTTTCAAGATAATTTATTAAATTAGTAAATAAAACCTTATATTATTTACTTAAAATATACTCCCATAATCACTTCAATTTAGAAACATGCCAGGCCGGGGATTTAGCTCAGTGGTTTCGCCGCCTGCTGCACAAGTGCAAGGACCCGAGTTCGATCCCCAGTACCAAAAAAAAAAAAAGCCATATTTTTCAGTTTTCGAAGGAACACAGCAATTGGACATTTACTAGAGGAAATTAGAAAAATATATTTCAGACAAAATAAAGTAAATTTAGTACTCTACCTGTTGATGTGTATATTTTATGAAGTTCCACTGTGTTTTCAAACGTTCCTTTTTCCCCCTTCTGGAACCAATGTCCACTACTTAAGTTAAGGCATTTGTATATTGCTGTCACTTGTTTACTTTAAAGATATAGTAAAACCTGTCATAAGCCTCAAAATACAACTGCTAACATTTGCAAGACATTTCACATTTAAGAGACCAGACAACTCTTTTGCTGTCACCTGAGTTGAGAAGAACTATGTGAATAGAAACCTTCTAATAGTGCAAAGGAAAACAACTCTGTAATATAATCTCGTGCAATAGTAAGCATGTTACTTATGATTAGACAGAAGCATATTATTTTCTGGAGTGCTCAGATTCATCTCTTAAGAAGTGGTTCCATCCCTATTTTTATGTGGTCTATTTTGGAGAATGACCCATGTGCAGCTGAGAAGAATGTGTATTCTGATTTTGTGGGGTGGAAGACCCTGTAAACATGTTAAGTT